AGTCGTTTCAATCTCGGGGCATCGCAAATTGTCACGCCCCAGGGCTAGGGGCTGCGTGGCAACATGCTGTACCACCACAAATGCCTTGGGGGGACGGCTTGAAAATGTCTCTAACAACATTTACTGGTGAACAGCTGACCAGACCTGGGATTATGTCACTAACTCAAAGTGTGGCTCCGTCTAGACAGAATGTTGATAACCACACAAGAACAACAAGGGATATCCGGAGCGCCTTGATGTCAGTGCGGGAATCATCACCAAGACTCAAAATAACCTCAGAGTAAGTTGTAACCTTTTTGATAATACAGTGTTAAGTTTCAATTCTGTTACATTTGTTTGAATCAAGATTCAGCCTTATTTAAATTTTGGCAGTTTATCCTCCAATTTAAGCAACAGACTATAATTCATTTCGTATATATTTGTTTATTGACATCAAGAAAATCTGGTAAAATTCCCCCAAAATCTGCAGTAACAACTAATATTCTGATTGGGGAAGTAACCTTGCCGAATCAGCAAAAAGCCAAATATGCGACTTATATACATAAATATCAGTCTTGCCAGACACTTTGAATCCCCCATAAAGAAGTATTTTTAGGGGTGTGTAAAATTACTGTTATACCAGTATAATGTGGTATGGCAGATCTAGAGTCAATACAATATACCGTTATACCAGTATAATGTGGTATGGCAGATCTAGAGTCAAAACAGTATATTGTGGTATGGCAGAGTCAATACAATATACTGTTACACCAGTATATTGTGGTAAGGCAGAGTCAATACAATATACTGTTATACCAGTATAATGTGGTATGGCATAGTCAAAACAATATACCGTTATACCAGTATAATGTGGTATGGCAGAGTCAATACAATATACTGTTATACCAGTATAATGTGGTATAGCAGAGTCAATATACTGTTATACCAGTATAATGTGGTATGGCAGATCTAGAGTCAATACAATANAGTATATTGGGGTTTGGCAGAGTCAATACAATATACTGTTATACCAGTATAATGATGTATAGCAGAGTCGATACAATATTACCGGTATACCAGTATATTGTGGTTTGGCCAAGTCGATACAACTTATTGTAGCCAAACAAGGCAGGCTACTATTCAGTTACAGCCTTTGGCCGAGTTCGAAAGGTCTTCGATCAATATATCTTTTCTCGGGTCGATAAATCCAGGTATCGACCGAAGTTAAAGGCTACAATTGTTTTATTACTTTCAAATCAGTAATGTAAGCAATCTGGAAAAATTAAAAAATAAAGATTTTTACAGTTTACCCATTTTTAGCTCACCTGACCCGTATACGTAGGCCCAAGTGAGCTTATGCCATGGTGCGTCGTCCGGTGTCAATATTTTACTTTAAACAACTTCTTAATAACCAAAAGGCCTAGGGTAATGATATTTGGCCAGAAGCAAACTGGGATGAAGGGCTACCAAGTTTGTTCAAATAAATGACCTTCACCCATATTCAAGGTCACAGGGGTCAAATCTGTTTAAATTTTTTAAATAACTTCTTCTGAATAACCAAAAGGATCAGTATGATAATATTAAGTCAGTAGCATGCTTGGATGAAGGGCTACCAAGTTTGTTCAAATTAATGACATTGAATGATATTCAAGGTCACAGGGGTCAATTGTCAAAAAAACCTTTAAACAACTTCTTCTGAATAACCAAAATGCCCAGGATGTTGATGTTTGGTCAGAAGCATGCTGGGAAAAAGGGCTACCAGTTTGTTAAAATGAATGACCTTGACTGATATTCAAGGTCACATGGGGCCAAATTTATTTAAAATCTTTAAACGACTTCTGAATAACCATGAGGCCTAGAATGTTGATATTTAGCTATAGCCAGTAGCATACTTGGATGAAGGGCTATCATTTGAATGACCTTGACCAACTTTCAAGGTCACGTCACATTTGGTAAAAAGCTGAGATGAAGGGCTATAAAGTTTGTTCAACGTAATGACCTATGTTTGACTTTCAAGTTCACAGGGGTAAAATGTTTTTAAATCTATAACAGGTTCTTTTTAATTACTAATAGTCATAAATGCTGATACCTCTTATCATAGAATTGCCTGTAGCTTTGTTTAAGATCACTTTTATGGTTACATGTGTATGATTAATACCTGGTGAGTGATGCAGGTCCATTTGGCCTCTTGTTGATTGATGTTCACATTGATTTTTTAATTTTTCTTAGTTTACTGTTTATCATTGGTGGTTTGTTGTTATTTCCAGGCCCTTGGTGAAGTCTGCTTGCAGTGTGCCACACAGGAAACTCAAAAGACAAGCACCCAAAGAAGAAGGATCTGATTCAGAGTAAAAGTCAAATAATTGTTTATGAAACAATAAATGTATAATCTAAATTACTTAACAGACAGCTTATGCTATACTCCTGGCATAAGTATGGGATAGGTTAAAAAATATTGGAATAAGTTATGTGAAGACTTGATTCTATATGTGTAGGTATACATTTTTGGGATAAAATTAAGTATAAAATGATGTTTTGAATTTCAATATTATACTTCTTAAGTAACATTTTGTTACACTTAGGAAATGTTTTTGAATCCACCCTCCCCCGACCTTCCTTCAAAAGAAGACACTAAAATATCTAGAAATATCACAAATTTTGGTTGGAAACGCCTTTTCCAAAAACGTTTGAAAAGTCCCTACAATTCGACAAATGTGACATATTCCATTTCAATAGAGAAAAAAGCTAATGTAAACAAAAATCCAGATTAGACAAGGGACTACATAATAAATTAATACTGTATAGGGAAACTTACAGCAAGGTTAATACTGTATAGGGAAACCTACAGCAAGTTTAATACTATATAGGGAAACCTACAGTAAGGTTAATACTGTATAGGAAAACCTACAGTAAGGTTAATACTATATAGGGAAACCTGCAGCAAGGTTAATACAGTATAGGGAAACCTGCATCAAGTTAGTACTGTATAGGAAAACCTGCAGCAAGGTTAATACAGTATAGGGAAACCTACAGTAAGGTTAATACTATATAGGGAAACCTGCCTCAAGTTAGTACTGTATAGGAAAACCTACAGTAAGGATAATACTATATAGGGAAACCTGCAGCAAGGTTAATACTGTATAGGGAAACTTACAGCAAGGTTAATACTGTGTAGGGAAACTTCTAGCAAGGTTCAATGTTGAGAGCAGATTTATGAGATACAATTAATGTTTTTGTTTGTTTTCCAGACCACTTTGTTTAGATAAAAAAGTATTCATCAGTGAGAAAAAGATGATGCAGAGTATGAAGGAACTATCACTGTACCCTTCCAGTCATCAACCTCCTTCCCTCCCTTCCACCTGTAGGGCATCTGAAATCCCTATGACCTCTGACAGAGCTGAAGGATTACGACACTTCAAGGAAATTGAAGACAGGTGACTATATGAAGTGATCATTTCTCGCAATTTTGTCAAGAATTTAAATAATGAACCCACAGAAATGGAACCTCCTGTAGGGAAGTGTCGTTATCACACTGTTTTGGTGAGAGTATTGTATACTTGCTCGTGTTACGCAATATTTTAATCCATTATTGACTTTTGTCAAGTTGAATATGTACTTCATAAAAAAGAAAGGTTAACAAGAATTGTTATGAGAGCCTCTTTATCAAGTTTTGTTAAAATATGTAAAATTTCGTATGAAATGATTTATTAGGATGTATGCTATTGGAATATTTGATGTTTAAATAATTTGTTACGGTTCAGCGATACTTTTGGACATTGACGTCAGGTGGGGGTCATGTTTTTAAATGTATGACCAGCATCAGCCTTGATGACTGCATTGCAACGATGCCCCATTGAGCTAGTGTAACATCTGATGATGTGAGATGTTTTCCACTCCTCAACCAATGCATGGAGGTTGGATGGCTGTTGTGGGAAACACTGCAAGTTCCTCCTCACAGCATCCAAAATGGGCTATATTGGAGACAAATTCAGTGATTTTGCCAGCCAATCCAAACCTTGAACACTGTTTAGTTACAGGAAGGCCCTAGTTACAGGAAGGCCCTAGTTACAGGAAGGTCCTAGTTACAGGACCTGTATGGGTGTTGCATTGTCATACTGGAAAATTGCTGCCACTTCCTGACCCAGCAGGAAAGGGACAACCACAGATCTTAAAATTTCATCGCAATAATGCACCACATTTAAATTGCCATTAACCACCACCAACCTGGTACGATTACTGCCGGAAATACCGCCCCAGACCATGACCCTCCTTCCACCAGACCTGTTACATTGGGGGACAACACAACAGTTTGTGGAGCGTTCACCATGGCGTTGCCAGACTCACTGCAGCCTCCCATCACCATGTATCAAACAAAGTCATGACTCATCGGAAAACAAAACGTTATTCCATTGCCGTAATACCCATCTGTGGTGTGCTCGAAATTAGGCAAATGGTACAGAACGTTGTGTTAACACAGGACCCTCCTAAGGCCTTCTTGCATGCCAGCAGTTATTTTTAAACAGTTTTGTATTGTTTTGCCACTAACACGACAACCAAGCAATGTTCTTGCCGTCAAAGCTGCAGGAGCAAACCGGTCGGGAAGATGATGCAGCCGTATCTGGCGATCTTCCTGAAGGGTGGTAACACATCGTCTACCGCTTCCCTGAAAGTCGGACGTCGACGCCATTGCATTAAAATGTTGCAGTAACTGGTTTACAGTTTTAAGGTTTCACCTAAAATGTCTCGCAGCGTGAAGCGACTTCACGTTGTGTCACCCCTACCTGGAGCATACCAATAGCTTGTTCTCTCACTACTTAAGACAGCCGCAGCATTGCCTAAAGGGATAACTTTACAAAAAATCTAGTGAGTTTTCACCTGGAAAGGATTTAGAGAATGCGTGTACGACACTTTAGACTATTCAGTTGCGGTATACACGAGAAAAGTGCACAAATCTGTTCAGAGGTACAGGGTGATTGGCTAATTAATTTAATTCAAATTAAACACTGCTATTAAATACAGATATTCCTACCAAACTCACTAGCTAATAAAACATCATTTTATAATCAATGATATTCTGGTGTTCTGTTAGGTAACATTTTAACCTTTCTTGTTAGCTCACCGGGTCCGAAAAACCATAGTCAGCTTGTGTCACACCCTGTCGCGATCATCCGTCCGACGTCCGTACGTCAACAATTTCTTTAAACAACTTCTTCTTCTGAACCACTGATTGGAGTTTAACTTAATGTGACCGGAAGCATCCCTAGGTGATGGCAGTTCAAAATTGTACAAATGTTAGGGCTGATCCCCCAGGGGGCTGAGGGGCAGGGCCAAAAGGGGTCAATTTGGCTATATTGCTATAAACGACTTCTTCTATAGAACTATGCAATGGATATCAATCATATTTGGTCCGAAACATTCATGGGAGGCGGGGATTCAGAATTGTACAAATGGTGGGGCTGACCCCCAGGGGGCTGAGGGGCGGGGCCAAAAAGTGTTTTTTGGCTTTATTGCTTTAAGGCTGACAGTGCAAGTTAAAAAGCTTTCGATTGAGATGTTTTCTTTTTTTTAAAGTCTTTTTATCTGGTTTTGAGATCTTCCCCATCTCTTCCTTCTACCATTTCTAAGGAAGTGCCAACATTTTAGTTTGTCTTTGCTTGGTAACGAATATGGGTCTCGCATTAACCATCAAGCTGGTTATCATTTGTTCAATATGTGCGCAAGGTGACACTACTGTACTTTATATATTATTAGTTACATACCTGGTAGTCACTTGCAGGGGGTATACGGAAATATATGGGGTCCATGAAAAACCTGTATTGGACGAGGCGCTTCGCCGACTCCAATACAGGTTTTTTCATGGACACCATATATTTCCGTATACCCCCTGCAAGTGACTATGTAACGAATTTATCCCGCCGATGACTTTTTATTTATTTCATCAGAAAATAAGCCGCCAAAATACAAACTAAAACACCACAATTTAATGATAAAACATCATTTTCAGCAGTTTATTCTCAAAAGAAACTGTAAAATAACAATAAAATGAATTTGCACGATAGTCATTTCCCATCCAGTCATACTTGTCTACTTATTGATGTTAATGGTAAGTTCCCAATTCTACACCCACTGAACATCCCGAAAGACGAGACAGAGCTGGACACTCTCTGTGAACTGGAGTTGCAGACTGGCAGGTCAGAAAAGTCGCACAAGATGTCTTGTAGATATGGCTCCAGAGCACGGGCTTGATCTTCTGCAAAATAAAATAAATTATACTTTTAAGTATGAGTTATTGCCCTTACTATGCATGTATTCATTTGTCCTAAAAAATATCATTAAAACTTCGAAAATGTGCTAATAGAATCTTACATTTTCACGACAATCGACTGTCAGAGTGCCATAAATAATCCCTGCAGTAAATTACATACCTTGTACGTCTACAACTGGTACAAATGCCGTTGTTGCTGGAGCTGGGGGAGCAGCCATAACATGAGTCAGAGTAGGCACAGGAAGGGCGAGTAAGTCTGTAGATGGAGCAGTTATGGCGTTCTGTGCTGCCTGGTGAACATGCAGCCCAATGGAATGACCCATGGCTAGTTTCTCCGAATCTCCCACTCGCTGATACATGACCAATGATGATACCGACTTGTGACCTAAAAAAACAAAACAAAAAACTGATTGCTATTAAATTTCCATCATGCATACCAAACAGTACTCAATTTGTGAAACATTGTGAATTTGTAAACAATTAGACAATCTCATGGGTTTTCTCCTTTTAAAGTGGATACTGACCTGTGACTGACATTATTTGAGCTGACCCCAAACTGGCTCTTTGATAGAAGTGTAGCTCCCGTGGCATGGATACTGACCTGTGACTGACATTATTTGAGCTGACCCCAAACTGGCTCTTTGATAGAAGTGTAGCTCCCCTGGCACGGATACTGACCTGTGACTGACATTATTTGAGCTGCCCCAAACTGGCTCTTTGATAGAAGTGTAGCTCCCATGGCACGGATACTGTGGTTGGTGTATTTCTGCGACAGCTTACAGTCCTTGCTGAGGGTTGACATGAACACTGCCAATGTCTTCTCGCCAACTGGTGTATTACAGTACCAGCCCTCGTCCTGGTCACAGAAGGAATCCCGTGGACGCTGCCATAGACTGTTGCAATTGACATTTAATTTTTCTACATACTTTTCGTACGACGACACTGGGCACATGGAGTTTCCGGGGAGCTCGGGCATAAATCCACCTATGTTTTCTTTATCTGTTTCCCTGTGATTTTTAGTAAGTTCATCCATTTCTTTACTGACATATTTTAGTGCTGTGGTTCCGTCAATTTTAAGGTTACCTGACCATTGGTCATGGTAACCTATTGTGATAGTCTTTTGTCCGTCGTGCGTTAACTTTTCCTTGTGAACACGATAACTTCAGTAAATGTTAACCGAGTTTGATGAAACTTTGTATTCAGCCATATATCAATAAGATCTCGAACAAGTTCGAAAATGGGAATTATTCGACAGTAACTTACAAGTTATTGCCCTTTGTAATATTGTTATTGGACCTTGTGAACACGATAACTTAAGTAAACATCAACCAAGTTTGATGAGACTTTGTATGCAGCCTTATATCAATAAGATCTCAGATGAGTTGGAAAATCAGAATTATTCGACAGTAACTTACAGAGTTATTGCCCTTTGTAATAATATTATTACACTATTTTGTATTGGACCTTGTGTTCACGATAACTTGAGTAAATATCGACCAAGTTTGATGAAACTCTGTATGTAGCCTAATATCAGTAAAATCTCGGATGAGTTCGAAACTGGGAATTATTTGACAATAATTTACAGAGTAATTGCCCTTTGTAATTATATTATTATTGGACCTTGTAAACACGATAACTTGAATAAATGTTGACGGAGTTCAATGAAACTTTGTCCGGTAATTATTTGACGCTAACCTGCAGAGTTATTGCCCTTTGTCATTATATTATTATTTGTCCCTGTGATGTTGATTGACATTACACAAGAATAGATGTAAATTCATGTGGTACACCTTTTCATTCATGATGCATTTTTGCTACTAACTAGGTGCTATTAAAATTTTGTGCCTTATTTAATAAATCATTGATTTACGCTTTTACTTGTTTCTTTTAACCAAGAGCAGAAGACATACAGTTACCAAGTTTGTTCAAAACAGACCCCTTGGGTCAGAATTGGAGTCACACCCATTTATTTCAGTTATCTTGTTCACAGGGTCCAACAATAATGGAATTACCAAGGGGAATAACTATGTAAGTTATGGTCAAATTGGTCCGGTATTCAAACTCATCTAAGATCTCATTGATACAAAGCTCCATACAAAGTTTCATCAAAATCAGTTCATATTTACTGAAGTTATTGTGTTCACAACGAAAAATTAATGGACGATGCAGCAAGATCACTCGGACCGACGAAAAGTATGAATTGGCCCCTGGATGACAGTCCTAATTTGAATCGGATGTCAGGTGATCGTTAAGGCCCATGGGCCTCTTGTTACACAGAAGGTTGACTTGGTCATCTTGCACATGTTTTCGGCTCCTCGGCGAAAGAAGTATAAACGTATGTCCATCTGAAGTTTGTTCAGTAATCCTGAAGGAGTGGAGGTATTAAGATCAATAGAGTTGTACAGCCTGCCCTAATCCTTGTCAGAAATGGCAGGATAATGTGTGATGGACCCTTTCCCCTCGCTTCAGTTGGGCCATCATTGCCCTAAAGTTGAAATTTGCGTCGCGAAACTCATCATCTTTGATAATATCTAACTTTCTGTTGAATGGTGGGGATTGCAAGTACCTGTTCAGTGAGTGGCGAATGTTTTCCACACTGGTTGTCTTATACATTTCCCCGTCCGGTTTCCGGAGGTCAATGTAAAAGTGGGACAGCGTCTCATTTAGTGCGACTTTGTCGAACGCTTCGAAATTGGATGGTTGCTGTTTCTCCGTTAAGTAGGCCTTTAGTGTTGTTGCGATCTCTTGTTGCTTTTATGTGTGTTGCGAGAAAATAGATCTGTCCTAATTCTCTTGATTTCATCATCGTTTCTTGAAGCAAACCTCGCCGCCATGTTTGTTTACGTTGTCTGCAGTCGGTGTGACGTCACAAAAACATGGCGTCATGACGGCATGATAGTGAGGCTCCACAGAGGGGTAATACGGAAAATAAACCCCCTGCAGGTAGCATAATACGGGTTTGTATGAGGTTTGCGCCAGCCAATGAAATTGCTACATTTTTGTCAGAGGCGGAATAAATTACTAATTTGGACACAAAATTTTCAAGAATGTGCCATAAGTAGTAACCAGCTTGGCAAAAACCAGTGTTTCAAAGTCTTCAAAATGAGTGTGTCTGATTTTTTAATATTGTTTGCCGATCAGAGTGCGCGGTGCATTGAATCGCCAGACGGTCAGTTGTAGAATGATAACCGGTTTAACAGGTAATGCGCTTTTTATACCCAGCTAGACCTGTTCTTGTTACCAACCAAGCAAGAACAAACTAAAATGTCGGCACTTCCTTGGAAACGAAAGTCGGAAGAGATGGGGAAGATCTCAAAACCAGAAAACAATATTTTGAAAAAAAAAGAAAAATGATTTAATCTTAATTGAAAGCTTGTTAACTTGCACTGTCAGATTTAAGCGACTTCTTCTCTGGAATTAAGAGATGGATATCAACCATATTTGACTGGAAGCATTCCTAGGTAGTGGAGAATCAAAATTGTACAAATGGTGAGGCGAGCTGACACCCAGGGGACGGAGGAGTGGGGCCAAAAATGGTTATTTGGCTATATTACTTTAAGCGACTTCTTCTCTGGAACTAAGAGATGGATACCAACCATATTTGACTGGAAGCATCCTTAGGTAGTGGGGATTCAAAGTTGTACAAATGGTAGGGCTGACCCCTCAGGGGGCTGAGGAGTGAGGCCAAAAGGGGTCAATTTGGCTATAGTGCTATAAACGACTTCTTCTGTAGAACTATGCACTGGATATCAATCATATTTTGTTCGAAACATTCATGGGATGCGAGGATTCACGAAAGGTTGGGGCCAAAAATAGTTTATTACTTGGAAATGGTTGAGATCCCACCCTATAACCATATATACAATTGCTCAGTATAAAGAGAAGAATGTGCATATGCTTCCAGGATGGCCCTGGGGTCTGGCCCCACCCTTGAACTGGAGACATAGTCTGTGGGTCATAACTTTGAAACGGTTGAGATCCCCATCCCAAACTGTATATACAAATGCTGGGCATAAAGAGAGGAATGCAGTCATGATATTAGAATTGATCCTGGGGTCTGGCCACAACCCTAGGGACCTAGTTTCTGAGTCACAGCTTGGAAGCAGTTGAGTTCCCCATCACATAACCATACATAAAATTGCTGGGCATGAAAAATCTAATAAAGATATGCTACAAGGATTGGCCTTGGGGTCTGGCCCATTCCCTTGGATCTTATTTGGAGAATATTTTGCCATGATTGCTTAGATATCCAGGTGAGCGATACAGGCCCTCTGGGCCTCTTGTTTTGCTGAGTATGTTTATATGGACCTTGAAGAGTGACACAAAGGACAAGTATATATATCTCAGGATGAGGTTTAACAAACAGTCTATTTATAAAAGAGTCGTACAGGAACAATCAAATACAGCTGTGTGATGCAAGAATTAGGGGCCTGTCAGAACAACTTCAAATTAGGGGCCTGTCAGAACAACTGCAAATGTAAAATATAGAATATTCTTTACAAAAGAAGCTCAAACTCAGTAACAAAGTATATCAATATGCCTTAGGAACAATTATTTTTCGGTTCTCACTTTTGTAGTCATACAGCTGTTTATACTGTAGCAAATCTAGAGCCATTCTGTAGATCAGATACATCTCTGACTTGAAGTCTAAAGCCATTCTATAAATGAGATACAGCTCTGACCTGAAGTCTAAAGCCATTCTATAAATCAGGTTATATTATTGTTGCAGACTTATACTGGACTCTGATGATGATGCAGAAGATTCTGAACCTGAGTCATCACAAGGACCAAAACTGGAGATTTTAGACAGTTTCTCCCAGGGCATCCTAAAGACTAGCTCATTGTTGCCACAGAAACTGCTTGAAGACATCACGTAAGGGAAGAACCAAACGTTAGATTAGAAGACATCACGTAAGGGAGGAATCAAACGT